GCTTGGTAGAATTCTGCTTGTCGAATTAGTCCCTGCTTCTCAGATGCATGAATCATTTTTTTTCCCCTCTGAGAGTGAATGGGAATCAAAAGAGAGAGCTTTGGCTTCCGGAGAAATCCACAAATATTTCTCAGAATTTGGGAGCAGGGATGGCTCCAGCAAAACAGCCCCTTGGAAAATGGAAAGTCTTCGGAACAGGCAATTAGTATTGTGCCCTCTCACATGGAATCTGCCTTCCAGAGACATCAAACTTGGCTCCTGCAAAAGCCAAGAGACCCCCACCAAGAGCGATGCATGAAGAACACGGTTGTTACTGTGTGCAGCCTGTATTTTTCTAGTATGAGAACACATGTGGGACTGAATGAAGAGTCTCATTCCTAGTAGACTCAGGAGGCATATTTTGTGTTTTCTAGCGCCAAAACACACCAATGGATTAGGTGCTAGAATGGAAAATGAGCTCTCTCCATTTCCTGATTACTTTCACAGGCATTCTTATTTAACTTTCCTCTTATAAAACACACACACACACACACACACACACACACACACACACACACACACACACACATCACACACACACATCAGCTGAGGGGAAATTACTAGCTTTTTTTTTTTTTATAATTTATTCCATGTAATAACCTTCCTTTCTTGGTCTTTCACAAGAAGATTTAATGGCACAGATTATATGGACCTCGTTGCTGCAGGATCTGAGAAAGGACCAGACATGGTGGGGAGATATGGAGCCTGGCAAGGACAAAGTTGGCTGACAAGCTGGTGACTACTAGGAAAGCCATAACCCAGCAGAATCAAGATATCATGGGTTGTCATCAGGGAGTAAATAAGGCAATGATTCTCTTTTAAATGAACACAGGCTAGGAATCATGCTCTCTGCTCCTGGACGTGGCATGGCAGCTTACTGGTTTTAGTCTCAAAATCACCAACTCCTACTTGCCAATGAAAATAATTTCCTCAAGGAAAGGGTGGGCATATTCTCTTGTAAGGCACAAATGCTTGGATTAGCAGGGAAAACCTGAGAAAATAAGATATGTACGCAACCAATAGTAGTTAACACTCGATCTCTTGTTGGCAGCCACGGTAACCCATAGGTCACAAAGATATATAGGATGAGAGGTTGTCTCCTTTCTCCATTTCTATTCAGTTGAAAATGTCCTTTTGGAGGTGGCTCACCTTTCAGAGGTAGCATCCCAAAGCCGAACACACAACCACAATGAAGATGCTAATCTCAGTTCCTATATCCCAGCTCTTAACCAACTATGGTGCTTTGAAACTTATAGGTATCTATATTTTGTTATTAAAATGTTTATTGTATATAGCACATTATGATGGGAAGGACAAAGGTAGCTGATCCTAATCAGAGCACTATCTCTCTCATAGAGGTAGGAAGCCTGGAGAGTGAAATTTATAAGCACATTGCTGGCCAACCCTCAGAGCATCTTCCAGGGTATACAATTTCTAAGGGGTTTCTGTCCACAATCCTCTTCCCTATGGTGCATCTGTCAGAGTCACCAGAGGCCATCATCTGCAAACACTAAGAAGGCAATTAAATAATGCTGAAATTGAATAAGATTGGACAGTATGTCAATGACTAGAGGATATAGAATATTTTATGTTCTAGATCATATTTTACCTTTTATTACAGACTTAAATATACATCTTTGTTTATAAGTACTTTAGTCATTACTAATACCTATCCAAAGTAGAAAATGAGTTTGTCATTTTCTAATTATGTTTACATGGTACCTAAAGTAGAGGTTTTTGTTTGTTTCAGACAGTAACATGCTGTATAGCACAGATTGACCTCAAACTGTATATTCTCCTGTCTCATCCCCCCACAGAGCTATAATTACAGGACTGTACTATCAGGCCCACATTTTCTAAGTATTTGTGATTGTACGAAGATCTTAAATAATGGGTAGGTTCTGGGAAAAATAAGATTTGTTGCTTATCCCCTTTGGAATTTAGAAGTCGCTTAAGGGGTAATATAATCACAAGCTAAATGCAACTATGTGTTAAAAAAAAGTAAAGCTCTTCCAAAACATATGGATACTAATTTCTGCAAAGTCTACAAAGGAATAAACCAGTAGGTAGTGATCAGAAATAAACTATATATGAGTGAGTTTGATGACAATGACAGCTGAAATATGTATCAGTCTGTGGGTCCTTTTCAATGAGGCACATGTCATTGGGATGACCACGGCCAGGGCCATTAAAAAGTATTTGTTGAGTACCACAGAAGACGTTATTATGTTAGTGGTAATGCAAAGATGGACAAGATTTGGTTCTGGACCACAAGAAATTTATGAGCTGGTAGATAAAACAACATACTGCCATCTAGCAGGGTGAGACTCCAGAGGGAGTAGAAACTGGCCACTGAGGACCCAGGCAAAAGAAAACCTGCTTTCTGACCGAGAAGAGAAACTTTAAGAAAAGTTTTATGGAAAATTAGTATCTGAGATGAGCCTTAATGTTTCTAACAAGAAGAGCTTTTCAGAGCAGTGGAAGAAATCTATGAAGCTGGGCACACTTCTAATCCCCAACCATTGGAAGGCTGGGGCAGGAGGATCATGAGTTCACTAACAGCTTATGTGACATGGTGAGACTCCGTCACAACAGGCAAATCAAAGTGCCAAAGCCAATTGTTTAAAACTTGAATTTGACATTTTGTTGCCAAGTCAACTTGAATTTGACATTTTGTTGCCAAGTTGCAGGTCAGCTTCAGCAGCCAGATATCTTGAACCTGGACAAAGTCACCTAATCCCCACCTGGACAAAGTCACCTAATCCCCAGCATTCCTTCTTGGACTCTCATTCACTGGGTTTCCTCGTTTATATCATCCGACTGTGCATACAATACTTGTGTTCATGAAGCTTATTAAAGATGTTCCTGACTCACACATGCAAGAAGGCTATGCGGTACTTTTGAGAGAACTTGAGTGTCGACGGAGACTTAGTTGGCAGGCATCAAGATTGCAGCAGTGGCACATTCAGGGCATCACCTCTGGTGGCACTGAGCACGGGAGACTGAAGGAGAGGGAGTGGAAACAAGAAGTGAGACACAGGGAAGCAAACATATTGAAGATGAGACCATGAGGAAGCCTTCAGCTGTGGTCTGGAAACAGATGGAAGGTCTGGATCCAGAAGCTGTTCAGAGAAAAACTTGACAGGTGGCTGGACAACTTGGTAAGGGAAGAGGCAGGAGCTATTATTTGTCTACATGGTGATGTCACCACGATAGAAGAGAAAAACGAAGAATGAGAATGAATAAGAAAGAAGATGCATCCGGTGTTGGGGATGGGTCTCCACGGTGTGCAGGACAGTGACATAGGACTGTCTAGTGAAGCTGGGTTTTCAACAAAAATTTGGCCTCCACCCACTCCCTGTCACAGACAGGAAACATCTAAAAGTGTCTGAACGTATGAAATCTTGTCATACGAGGGATGGGATGCTACCAGGGTCTAGGAGATAGCTTCCAGGAGTGTTACCAAAACCCTGTAATACATAAAACAGGTTCCAACCCCAAGAAAGAATGGCCCTGGATGCTAACGAAGAAGAGGTTGAGAACACCTATCTAGAAGGACTTAAAACTCCAACTCTGGATTTTTTTAAGGTGGAAATAAATAAAGATGTAAACTTACAGTTATTCATATTTCTGTGAGATACAATGGGGGAATTAATCACAACAGAAATACATGGAAAGGAAAGAAATTAAGTGAGTGAAAAGGATTTACTGCAATACTAGGGAGTATCACTTCATGGGTACTATGGGTTTTGGGGGTGAGGCAAAGTGAGGGGTCTTCCATATTCAAAATGCAATGTTTTATGAGTATTCTTACTCATTAAACATTAAGAACCTAAGAAGAGGGATAAGGACAAGAAAGGCATTCACCAAGCTTATGAACACCTGGAAGCCTAAACACTGAGGGCACATGCCAGTCTTGATGTCAAAAAGGGGGGAAAATGATAAGGCAAGAAAAAGGAAAAAAAAATTAAGAAAGAGGAGAGACAGAAGAGGGTAGAGAGGGATAGAAGTGGGGAGCTGATCTACCGTTACAAAGACATCCTCTACAGTCTGACAGAACACAGTATAAATGTAGTTCTAGGGAGCAAGACCAGTAGCCTCTCTCCACGTTTGGGGAAAACATTCTATGGTCAGTAGGATCCCTTTCTAGGAAAAAAATCATCAAGGTTTCCTAAAGCTTAATGAATATATAATAAAGCGGAGATCAGGGATTTGCACTGTTCTCTCTCACTTAAGTCTTGTGATAGCTTTGCTCCAGGAGTCTTGATAGGTGTAGAGACTGTGGCTTCTTGGGTAAAATGAGGATGAGAAGGTTCCTGCCTCCTCGGGGTGCTGTGGTGACTACATGAGGCAATTGGGAAATAAATCACTTAGCATTGCAGCTGATGCCGGGCAAGGACTCCATTGATGGTGGCTGCTTTAAATAATAAGATCTACATCCTATTACTCTAAGAAATGATCAAAAAAGAAAAGCATCCAGGACCACAGTCCAAGGGAACCCGGTGTAATATGTTAAACCGGGTAGCTGAAAGCTGAAAATAATTCCTAGAACTGCTAGTGCCCTTCAGAACTCTTAAAGTGAGGCCAAATTTCCTCACTTTAATGATGGAAAAATTAGAGAAAGAAATGGAAAGGTCATTGTGGTTTGGGTGTAAAGGCACCAAAATATTGTGTAATTTTTTTTAACGTAACAAGATAAAGGTAGAATTGGAACCTTCTAGTTTATAGTTACGTGTTTGTATGGGAGACACTAGAGTTATTCCGAGACAATGGCAAGCAAACAGCTAGCCTTAGCTTTCCATGAACATGTCCACTGTGCCTCCCCTAGAGATATGCATTCGTTAAGTAAACGTAACTGTATGACTCTTTGAAGTTCCACGGAGTGTGGAATCACAGAGCTTTGGAAACGAATTAGTGGTTATAACAGATCTGCTTCTCCAGACCACAGTTGGGACACTCACCTGTCCAGGAGCAAGTTAGGTGCAAACAGAAGCTTTCCTGGGTGTTCCATGGAGCGCCAGATGAGGCCAATCATCAGGATCTCCAGCCAGGCACACTCCAGGAGGTGGACCTGATCGTGGAGATTTAAGTCTCCAAAGCCTGCAATACATGGAAAGCCCCACTTAGTGTTCAGGGAACATATTCATCACTGGTGACATGAATGTGACTTGGAATTTGGACTAGCGGACTGCTTTTTGGTAAATAGAATAAAGAAAAACCACTGATGTGTGCCTTTATTTCTAATGGCCAAATAGGAGCTTAAAGCTTTTTTAACTGTGAAAGACAACAGGGTAGATGCCTACACAATACAAGGAAAAGGAAGGTGAGACAAACAGAGTTATACTTCATGGGAAAAGTAAGTATTTTGTAAAAATCTAGCTCTGTTAATGAGTTTCCACTGACTTTAAGGGATTTTTTTTAATGTCTTAATGTCATATCTGCAAAAATACCTGCACTTATACAACCCACTTCTCTGTCTATAAAATTTGTACTTAGTAAATAAATTCTACTTAGGCATATCAAGTAACTTTACATAGCTATTGTTGCTCATTTTTATTTAGTTGAAAACACTTAAGTGCTATAAACTTAAATTATTTAACTAAGCAGAAATTGGGACACAGATAGTACCATAGTCATCAGTTATTTCTTCATTTTATTGCCGAGCCATAATCTTTTTTCATAAAATGTAAAACAAAGACTAATGAAGCAACACACGCCCATAAATCACTCGGAGAACGAATCAGATGACTAAAAGCAACGTTACAATTACTCCTTGGAGAAACCACTGATGTGTGCTCTTGTTTTCCAGTGGCTGATTAGGAGATTATAAAGTTTTTTTTTTTCTAACTGCTAATGACAGTAGATGCCTAAGCATCACGAAGAGGAGGAAGAAGGCGATGAGACAAATTTGGAAAAACAAGTGGGAAGGACACAATGGAGGGGAGAGACAAGTTTTTAAGTCCCTCACTGTGGGTTAGAGGCGACGCTAAGTGCTTTCTGTAGCCAGCTCTTTTCATCTTTATTCACACAACAACCTGAACAGCTAGGAGCCGACATTCCTATTTCATGGATGCTCTGAGAGTTTATGTGTCTTTTTTCCCATTCTTCTCTCATACAATACATGCTGATCACAGCTTCTCCTCCTTCCCCTCCTCACAGTGCCCCTCCCCTCCCCTCTCCCCCAGATCAACTCCCCCTGCCTCCCCCCAGAAAAGAGCAGGCCTACCAGGGATACCAACTGAATGTGGGACAGCAAAATGCAGTAATACCAGCCACAAACCCTCCCATCATGGCTGGATGAGGCAACCCAGTAGAAGGAGAAGGGTCCCAAGGGTAGGCAAAGAGTCGAAGACATTCCACCCCTACTGTCAGGAATCCCACAAAAACTCGGAACAGAAATCTTCAGGGCTGGTGCTTTTGACCATCAGTGACACGACCTTTTCTGAGCTTTGCTGCAGAAGTTTGGATCAGGTGACTCAGTAAGTCCAGCCACAGAGATGCCAGAGTGACAGGATTTGGAATTAAGCAGTATTCAGGGAGTCTGCCCAACTCTGTCCTGCTCTTTACAAGCAGGCATCCCTTCACTCTCTTTTTCCTTCTCCTCCTCTTCAACTGCTTGTTCTCACTGATCCTGGAGAATGGCTGTGGACATCCTTCATTATTGATGCTGTCTTCTTTGTGTTCCATTAATGTCGCTGTCCTCTGTTAGGATCTATTCTTATTAACAGTGCTGGTGTGCTTTTGTCAACTTGACACTATCTTAGACATATCTGGGAAGAGGAGATCTTAATTGAGAAAATGCCTCCAGCTAGATCATCCTGTGAGCAAGCCTGTGAACCATTGTCTTGAGTGATGATTGATGTGGGAGGACCATGACTGATGTGTGGTGCCATCCCTGGGCTGGTGGTCCTGGGTGCTCTAAGAAAGGAGGCTGAGAGAGCCATGAGAAACAAGTCAGTTAGCCACACTCGTCTTGTTCATGTCCTCTGTTTCAGTTCCTGCCTCCTGGTTCCTGTCCTGCTTGAGGTCCTCAGTGATGGACTGTGACCCGAAAGTACAAGATGAAATAAAGTGTTTCCTTCCCAAGATGCTTTTGATCATGGTGTTCACAGCAATAAAAACCCTAACTGAGACATTAACTAAGAAGTGAACTGTCAGTATATGACTTACCTGGCAGATATTTTTCTTGGGCATTCTTGAGAGTTGCCCAAACCTCAGCACCAAACCATTAGCTTGTGACTTCTTATACATTTCATGAAGTGCCATATTTCACATAATCCTGACTTACTTGGTGACAATTCACATAGAGACTTCAGCCACACACAGACCTCGGGATCACTTCATTCATTACCATCACTTCATTCTCAAACATCATCAAGACCTGAGAAGTCACACAACATCTTCGTCTCCTTTCTATTCCTGCTATTGATACACAGGGCCGGTTCCTAATAGTCTCTCACCCCCTTTCCGACTTCTTCATTAAGACTCATCTGTGCCATGTTGATATAAGAATGGCTGTTCTACCTGCCTCTACTAAAGGTACCTCCCTATAGGAAGCCTTACTACCTTCTTATAGGAGGGAATTGGGGGTGGATTGGGAGCAGGAGGCTGCAGGGGTATGAGGAGGGAAGAGGAGGATCTTTGACTGGTATGTAAAATGAATAAAAAAAAATACTTAATAAAAAAAGGGGGAAATGGCTGTTCTTTGGTGTGCATAGAATGCTACTCCATCACATAGACATACCCTACAAACAGGTAACACACTGGGCATTTGGATCGTTCCCACCTTTTGGCTATTGCTACTAAATCTGTCACAGGCAGTGTTTGAACAAGTCGCTGGATGCATGGGTGCTTTCAACTGCCCTTGCGCAAATGTCGAAGAGCACCGTGGTTGCGGGGAGCTAGCAAGGCTTGGCCAAAGGGGTGTATCGCTTTTTACACCCGCCAGTAGTCTCTCGAGCCCCAGCTGCTGTCCTCACCCCCACTCACCAAGCCGTTTCAAATCCATGATTCTTCTCCCACTTACTTATCTTTGCACACAAACACCACGTGCACGCTGATGCGCGCGTGGGAGTGCCGCAGCACACATACGGAGGTCAGAGGACAGTTTGTCAGGTCTCTTCTACCGCAGGGGCTCTGGGGATCCAACCCAACATGACAAGCTTAGCAGTAAGCACCTGTGCATGCTGAGCTGACTTGCTAGCCCAGTCATTTTCATTTGAAAGAGGCCAGTGGAGGTACACAGGCATCACACGGGCGCTGTTTATATTTGTATTTCCCTACTATAAAGAATCTTTCCAAATTTACCACCCGATCTTCTTGGTACCGTGTATTTGGGTTAATTATACCTGCATGTCTAAGTCCTGCTACGTTGTTTATCTACTAGAAACACAAACTATGTGATTTTTATCCAATCCTGTTTTTAAAAATCTCTAATCCATCACACCATTCACTACCACACTGAGCCATTCCAAAGTCCCTAACAGTGTAGTCTTTATCAGAGTAGATGTCTTTCCATTGGCCAGAGCAGATTCCATTCATGTGACTCAGGACTGGTGGCTACCAAAATAAGGAAGGGTGCATCTGCTCTTAAGAAAAGTCTTAGTGGTTGGGCTGCAGGATTTGGTCTGAGGTCTGCTTGGAGGAAAGGGAGCAGGGATCGCTGGCAGGTGCTGTGGGATGGTCTGTATGTCAAATTGCTCTGATTGGTCAATAAATAAAACACTGATTGGCCAGTGGCCAGGCAGGAAGTATAGGTGGGACTAACAGAGAGGAGAAAAGAAAGAACAGGAAGGCAGGGTGAGGGTGTGGGGGTGGAGGGAATACTACCAGCTGCTGCCATGACAAGCAGCATGTGAAGATGCTGGTAAGCCATGAGCCACGTGGCAAGGTATAGATTTATAGAAATGGATTAATTTAAGATATAAGAACAGATAGCAAGAAGCCTGAGCCATTTGGCCAAACAGTTTAAATAATACAAGCGTCTGTGTGTTTATTTTATAAGTGGGCTGTCAGACTGCAGGGCCTTGGTGGGACCTGGAGAAAAAACTCTCCAGCTACAGGCAGGTACAGGTACAGGCAGGCAGGTAGTAATCTAGAGATTACTGGGTCAATGTAGAGCAGCCTGGCTTGGGAGAAGCAAGATCATGTCACATTACTTGCTTCTCTTTCTTGCTCCCATATCCTATAAAACAAACCAAAGCAGCAGAACACAGGGTGACAGCCCTCAGAGAAGTTCTAATTCCTGAATCCATCTCTTGAATGTTTTGATTAAGTTTCTTAAAACTAACATGAGCTTTCCTGTAAATTAAATTTACCCTCAGAAATGTTAACACTCAAAAGCAAGGTTCTCTCTCTCTCTCTCTCTCTCTCTCTCTCTCTCTCTCTCTCTCTCTCTCTCTCCTTCCTTCCTACTTTCTTTGTTTGATTCTTAATTCTTGGGATATTTACTTTTTTGGTGCATGTACAAAAACATAGTCAACATGTGTTATTGTCAGCCATGATTAAACTTAGGATGAATTATTCCAAAACTCATATAGGTTGCGGCTGAACATACCCCCACACATGTTCAGAACTGCAGTGGGTTGTGCAGCCAAACAACTGTGGAAAACCAAATGCCTTTAAACAGGATCATATTCTTCAACTCTGATTTCAAAATGGTATTACTATGTAGGCTTGGCAGTTACAGTGACTTTTGGGGAGTCAGAGAAGTTCCCTATAACTATATGTACCATTTGAATAGGGTGATTGTGAATATGCCTGTTAGTAATACTTTGAGTCAGAGGCCAGTAGGATTGCGGGGGTTTTCTGTGAAGTGTAGACATCTGTAATTCTGTTTAATTACGGTTTCCAGCTGTGCACACAGCCTGCAGACAAGGATTATTAGACCTGTCACAAAGTGCCATCTGCAAGTTCCTCAGAGAGAGTTTGGAGGATCTTGCCAAGGAGATTGTCAGTTAACCTCCTCAAAGAATGTGTGTATTGTCAAGAGAAGTCATTCCATGGAGCCTCTCCTTCCTTCCAACATACTGGTCTCATATTATTTGGTCCACACAGGAACTAAATACATTTATGATGTGAGACAAATAGCCAGGAGTATT